GCGATTGGTTCGATACAGACGATCGGCATAGTTAAGTGACGGTCGTGATTGTGACTGGTGATACCCGCTAAACAAGGTCATAGACGAGACAGGCAGGTAGGTTAATTAGGCGTTCACGGAAGCAGAAATAAATACAATTATAGTCTGGACATTGTTGGCTTTTTTTTTCGCCTGTGTACGTCGAAAATGGCAATGCTTGGCCTGTTCCAATTGGTAGCATGCGGGAATTCTTACTTCCGAAAAGCAAATATATTATATTGATGCAAGCGAACTAGAACAACGATCCGAAATCCTTCTCCGATCCTGTTCGGGGGCAACGGGTGGCAATATCTCCGGCTGTGTGTTCTTTAAACTGTTCGAAAGACTAATGATCGGCTACTGCTATATGCTTACTGTTATACGTTTTTTTTTGCAATTAAAATTTCACCCTTCCTAAATGAAACCATAAGTAGATTTTGGCCGTTCTCTGAAACCTCGTTAGTTACGAAGTATGCCTAGCGTTGAACGAAAGCCATTAAGTGATGTTCGTCCTTGCGTAACGCCGGCCAGCCTTCTAAATAGTAGCAGTAGTAGTAATATGACAGCCTAACTCTGCCTCTCTAATCATTGTTGCAAAAACGAACCACGAGTTGTTCAATAAAAAGTTGATGCACTGAACTTATGAGGTCCTTTTTGAAAATCCAGAACCCGGTACATTCGATCACGTTAACTTATCCCGTAAGCACGCAATTGTTTGTCATCTTTTTTCAAAACTTGATATTTTACGCATGACGCATTATATTGTAGAAGTATACCCGCAGACGAATTCTGGTACTTGATTCCTACCGATAATTTTTGAATGGCTTTTCAACATGTTTCAGTCGGAAAGGGAAGCGTTTTGCTGTCACGGTAACGGCACGCAATTATTTTTCTTACAAAGCAATAAAGATAACTTTGCATAAAACTTTAAATAATCCAGAAAAAGGTTTTGTTTGTTTTTAAACGAAATAAAAAATGGCCTAACGATGAACATCAGGTCATAGTAATACTGTTAAGACCTGAAATGCCACTACCCGATCTAGCATCTGCTATCCTTCTGTCCTGAAATCATTTATTAGACACTGTGTTTTTTTTGTCTCTCGCCGTTGCGTTCTAGGTCACCTAGTTTTCTAAGAACCGTCCGTCCTTCATACAATGCCTGTGTCATCGTGGTATGTGTTTTTTGTGTGAGCAATAAGTATGTGGACGTGTTTCACTGGTGTTAATTTCTAATCCGGTCCTTAATCTGGCAAAACAAGAAGGTGAAAGTAGACAAGCGATTATGTCCGGTACTAAATAACGTGCCTGATACATAATGGCAGGATTAATTTAGACATATTAGGATGTTCTGCCATTATATGGGCCATATAAGCCGGAAATGTTTACCACTCGCCCTTTCATCTTGGGTCGCCCAGCTAAACAAGTACGATGAATCAGCGACCAAGAAAATTAGCAAAATTAAAATCCACGTATTTTTACCTATCCTTCTCGATACTCATCCCACTCTATCGACACAGGTTACAGTTAGGGAGAGACTAAAGGGGAAGTGGTAATTAAAAATCATTTAATCGGGACTTTTACGAATTAAATCGAATTGTTCAAATCTCCGCTAGTCGACAAGGAAGTCGGATTACATAGTGGTGACTGAAGGTCGAACCTTTGTCAAGCGTGTAAAAAATCATATTGCTACCCAGTCGAGTGTAACGCGTTAGCAAGCGCTGGCGACAACGTTCGTCTCTGTTTAACATACTTTCCGTATGAAGGTTCACGTAACCCAATGATTGAAGTTTCGCTCACCGAACCCTCTCTCATCGTCGTCGACGACTTTTTTTTACATAGCTAAATTTCCATTTTGATTTTATATTCCAAACATTTCGTAGCGAAGAGCTAGTTAGAGAGGCAATGAGATAAATGCAGTGAGTGAAGATGGGATCGAAGTAACGGAAATAGCTTCATTTGTATATTCAACATCTGTGAAGCTGATGCGGGAACTCGACTAAAGTTTGCATAATCAAACGATCGAATGACTAATTTTACAATTGTAATGAACCGATAGAAGTGCGTACAAAAAGTGAGCCAAGTAACTATCTGTAAAATGGTAAGGAGCGAAAATGTTCCAGAGGTCAGAGTAAACCGTTTGCTGTAGTTTGAGATTTCTGGAAAATACGATGTTTTTGCAAAAAAAAAAAATGAAAAAAATACTGCCAATTAAATGATCTGTTGTTATGTGATCAACAATAAAGCCACGGATGGCTGAACACGTTCTTATGTTTATAAGTAATGGTCGAGTATCAATGAAAGAAAGCGATCGAGACGATGAGGAGCTAAGGCACGGATTTGAGGTACCGCTTCTTCGAACGCTACATATATCGGCGAAGTTCACAAGATGTTGCATGGACGGTCGTTATATGAGTTCTGCATGTTGCATTGTTGACATGACACGTTCGTTCAAACCAAATGCTCTAATAAAGGTACACAAACTGCTCAGGCATCAATGCGCCAGTGTCGAAATAGACTGATAAGTGAACTATATTGCCAATGATTAGCAGAGAACAGTCTGTCCTATAATATAAATCTGGCAAAACTTTTTCAAATTACAAAAATGGACGATCAATAACCGATAGTAATATGTAGGAATCGGCAACGTTTATCTGCAACATCGTATTAGCCTTAATAGTCATTTACTGAGGAGTCATAGTTTCGACAACGTGTAGCATATAACATAATTGTCCACAGAACGATCCAGCGAAATTCCTCTGATCCTTATTGACTCTGTGCTCTACAATACGAGTAATACGAGTGCGCAATACGAGTAATCTTCGATTTTTCAACGATTTTGGTGAGAGCGAAGCTGTTGGAGGACTCCCAACAGCTGCCGATTCCCGTATACCGCGTGAACGTTTTCCCTGCTAGCCTCTAAAAGCCAAATCATTACGGGGCTGTGTCACTTGTTAACTAATGAGTAGCGCTCCGTTGCGTACACACACAATTCTGGCACAAACGGTCGTGTTGTGCTGAATTCGGTATCAGCTACGAACTATTTTTAATATGTCAAATCTGGGTTATGACGGCTGGTGGACAGAATACGAACGACTTAGTCACGATAAATTGAAGCAGTTGAAACGGCGTATTATCGTTGCCGCTTTGATCTTCATTCTACGCTGACATTTTGTATAGGTTTGAGATGCTTGGCTCAATAAAAAGAAGACGAAGGAGTAAACTCTTCGCAGCGAACGAAGAAATTTAGATTTCAATTGATTATCCTACGCTATCTTCGTATACGTTACCTCGGTGTTTCGATTCTCATGTCCGATATCGCTGTTAGGCATTCCATACGACGCCCGTCTGTGACTGGGTTCGAATCTAGAGCACTGTGTATCCTTCAGGAAGCACGGAAATACGCTTTCTACGAAGCTGTCATAGAGATATCGCTGTTAATCGTCCTAGTAACCTTCTTTATTAGGCCATATTTCAACGAGCACAATTCAAATCGACCAGCAGGTTTCTGTGAAAATGTTTTCTTGGTAATAAGTTGACAGCATAGGCGCTGTTGTGCACGCAACGACTTGGCGCAATCTATAACGATTATATTTCAGCAGATCGCGTTTCTACAGTATCGCATATTTAGGAATATAATCTGTCACAAATTACAGCAGACGTGTCCTTTCTACAACGTTATTACACTGCGAGTACTGATGTCAGCGACTACCATCGTGCTAACTTCTTTACGTTTATTACGTCGCATTTATACGTTCCAGAAAATGAAGGAAGTAGTGCTTCGAATGGGACACTATGTATCTGACGATCTGATGCCACATAGGGCCCAGTCGTTGGCGGCAAATGTCTGTTGATCCTGATGGCTCTACGTTTTGGCTCCTGATGAATCGTCTAACTGTCGCATGATCGATCTGATATATAGTAGTTAATGTGAATTATAAAGATCAGTAAGCTCACTTTCTCCATCCCTTCTCTTTTGATTAATATCCTGTTTTTCGTTGATTGCGCAGGCCGGCACGACCACGCTCACGTGTAGGGTGTCACATATATGTATACATATCTAAGGACGACGCCTATATTAACATCGACTGGGCAAACGGTTGCCCTTGGTAATGAAGTTTCTGTAGTTGACGCCGATTCTGTCCGATACCAGTCGGCGGCCGCACTGTAACTTCTAGTTCCTTCTGAGTGCTCAGAAGCAATCGCTTTAACGCATGTCATAGGAACGTACATCTGATGACGCGCGCAGGAAATGTTTCAGCTCGTAAATGATCTCGGTGATCTAAATGGGTCGTTGCTGTAAATACTGTGCTTTCTGAAGAAAGTAATATTGACAGGCCCATGATGCTCATTCTTCAGAAGGATAATTTATCTGAAAAGAGTTTTGTAATATAGCTATATACGATAGTAGACAAATCCTTCGAAGTAAAAAATGGGTTTTGAGTGGCATTAGTTAGTCACATGTCCTACTTGTTGAACTGATTCTACCTCAAGGTTACAGAACTGGATCGGTCCAGTACATCGTCACCCATTACATCTATCCGCATCTTTCCACCTTGGGACATCCGAAGTGAGAGCCAGATACATATAGCGATAGAATCGGTGCTACAGAAACGTTTTCTGATCGTTGTATTTTGTTACTATGCTGAATCCGTCAAGCTACAACTAACATCAATCAACAGTACCCTTGTCATTGAAACTCTTCCCGCTAATGCTTCGACCGCTAGTGGCGACAGTGCGCCGTGTACGGCGCTACGGATAGCGACGCTGACGCCAAAACAAACCCCAGTAATGGTTATGAGTGCTTACCACGGCTGCTCTGCGCTCGCTCTTCCCTGCTACAACAGGCGAGCGTTTGTGAGTGCGTGCGTGCGTGCGTGCGCTGTTCTTCGCCGAGACAGAAAGGAGAAAGCGGTAACGAACGGGGTAGAAAAAACTGCCTGACTCCCGAGCGAACTATCTAGGGACGTATCGAAGACGAGTCTGGACGGATGAACGAGTCTGGCAATGTATCCCAATTGGCTTGAAGTTCGATGATTTGACAACTAGTGAGCCCGCCCATCGACAATGATAGGAGTTCACAGTCTGGGATCGCAGTGGTGAAAAAAGCACGTCAGGAATTGTCGAACACAACATTAGCGTACGCCGCTGCGACGGCAAGTGGAAAAAAAATTTCCAAGTTAGATGAAATAGGTAAGTAACGTCTGACTTAAAGACGAACCTAATTTTGAACGTAGGCTATCTACACTAAACATTAGCTTTAATATTTATACAGTAATAGATAAAATGAACAATAAGCTGTACCGCAATCTGTAGAGTAAATAACGCCATTGTTTCATCATTATCACCCTGGCGAGGTGGAATGATAAATAAATAAATAAAGTTACGTTTCGCTATGTATTTTTAAGCGAAGTAAACTGCTATAATTATGTAGTAATGTTGCCTTTACGTGTGAATGTACCCACTTACGGACTCGAACCAGGAATTTAATTTGTTTTGTCCGAATTGACGAACTTCTCACGTGCGTCAAGCCATTTCAGCCGGACAATAGGACAACAGATTGAAAATTTAGGTTCTGCGTATTTCTTTCACCTGATTGGCTACGTACCTTCTATAAAAGGTTCTGGTATCGCTTGTATCATGCCTAACCTAAAACACGCGTCGAAAACTACTTTCCACACAATTTACGTTTCCTCTTCGTAGACACTTTTGTCGGGGGGTTGACAAAACGCTTAACACTAGTTATGATATTCAAATTCATGGCGTCGTTTCCAATGTTTTACTTATTATGACCCCGATACTCTATGCAGTATGCAGAGGGCATCACGAATCAAGCACACGCGATAAGGCATTGTTTCTTTCAAAGGTGACCGAATTTAGGACCTATGTGCAGGATTTATGGCTTGCCAATAAAAATGTACATATGTAGAAACTGAAAGCAAGCATCGCGTTGACCATGGCTAGCCGAACGCCAACTGGACAATTCGAATTATATGCTTGCGTGAACACGCATCTATTCATATTATACAAAGATGTAATCACACGTTTGGGATAGTTATTCCATTGGTGCAGAGTGGAAAAAGGATGTTTTGACCCTGATTTTAAACGATTAAAGCCGGCGCACATTACTGTATGCAACTTGTTTAGCTCGTTTGAGGGTATCATGCCAATTGTATATAACTGATGTAAGTTTTCTGTTTCGTAAAACCATTTGTGTCCCGGCCGACTGATGTACGCGAGTCGCAGCTAGGAGTTTTATATAAGATAGCACCGCGCCAGTATTTGAGCCTGAACTTATTTTCAAGCTAATATTATTTATAAGTTACTTATAACAAAGCAAAGGAGTGTTCAAGGGTAATTTCACGAGGTACATTTTTTCAGTGCAGTATATTGATGCCGAAAGAAGCAGTAACGATAAGTTTTTCCTTGCCATCATTCCTTCCTGATAGGCTCCAGTTATCAATAAATTTCTCAGACCTATATAGTTTCCCATCATGCAGTATCTCGTCTTTCGTCTCGTGCACTGCGTGATCCTATATTGCACGCTGTTAAAACGTGATTTCATATTTTAGTCCTTGTTCGTTTTACTAGACGTAGTCCGTCCACTATCTGTCACGTCATTTTATAGAACAACCCTCCAACTCCACTCCAGTTGTCCCCGTACCCTGCACAAACTTTACGTTTTCCGTTTTTAGCGCCTTTCTAACGCAAACGGTCAGCATCGAACTATATGTTAGATGTCCTATGCTCGATCATGCTGGATCTTGGCTTGAACCTGCTCAGTCCCATTTTGCTCTTCTTCTAGTTCTGCTATTGCTGCTACCGCTGGTGACGCAAAGGGAGGAGACTGCGGGGAACCTAGGGGGCACTGAAGTACAAGTGGTTCACGATGAAGAAACTGCTATCTCGGCTTTTCGCGCTGGCGTACTGCCAGCAGCAACTTTCAGTGCCACCTCTTCCCTTGTCCTAGTCCTTTGGGACGCTTTTAAGCCTTACAAGTCCTTGCTCCTTTCCTTCTGTGTAGCGTGTATCTGGGACATGCGCTTAGCAATTCTCTTATTGGGGAGTCTCTATCTTACCTGGAAACGTACCTACCCGCAAGGAGCGCCCCATTTGTCCGCTTGTTTCAAATGGGTCGCTGCCAATGTCTGCCTCACGTTATGCCCCTAGGGTTGTTCCCAGTGAGAAATACTGAACGAGGGAAGGAAAAGGGTGGGAGCTTAGACACATAGAGGGCTAAACTAGGCAAAAGCTGTTTCGTAGTCATAAAAAGCAGTTGTGCACGTAGAGTTCATCCGGCCGACTGAAGCTAGATTGGCGCGAAGTAGCATTAGGTATAACCTCTTGCCCGCAAAACGTTCAATGGACACTGTAACTGAAGACGAAATCGCTGTTTGACGTATGGAAACCAACAGCGGTCTGCTCACATGACGGAAGTGGAATATATATATATATATATATATATATATATATATATATATATATATATATATATATATATATATATACGATTCTTAAATCTAAAAATACATGCAAATATCACTATAAATGCTGTACATCGTCTGTATTTTTGTATCTGTAGCCTGTGTAAGATAGGCGAGCTAATAGCCCTCGATTAAGAAACGTCCATATGAAACGAAAATATATAGAGCTCATAGATATGATTAGAAAAATACTCAATCGAATTAGGGCGTTTATAATTAGTTCATTATGTTATAACCTTGAGATTCAGTTGACACATATAAGTGTCAGATTGGCTTTCGAATTGAAAATTATATATGGAAATATGCACAGTTAAAACTTTAATGGGATTCACAATTTCACATAATGTTTATTATAATACGTAAAAATTTTGCGTACGGCAACGCATATACTATAACCGCAAACGAATAATAATATTTCAGCTTGTCAATCCTATTATCTGTTTTCCATTATGACTTAATATCTGATGGAAATGATGATACAGTAGATTAGTGGAGAGAAAAGAGACAGACAGGCAAATAGGCATGACCCAGTATATTGCATTTCTTAACTTTTTTTTTGTCACTAAATGATGTCACCAATGATAACTTGACACTGCGTTTTGGACATAAATGTGCAATAAATTTAAGCAGTACTGAACCTTGTACAATACGTGCCTTTCGTCCTCGACTGACCCTTAGAACGCCCGAGAGCGCCTGACGATTTCAAACCATGGTCGTAGATAAACACTTTTTAACGAAGACGATCTCCTAGAAGAGCTTTCGCGTGGATTTTAAGATTTAAATACGCAACCTACGCTTAAGCAACTCATGGCATCAGCCTCTCTCTATTACCTCAGCCATCATCGGGACAACTTTTATAATATAATAGAGTTTAGCTGGTTCGCTAACACAAAACAGCTCTTCTGAGAGTCTTGTTTGTTAAGACTTCAAGTGCTATTTCATACTTGGTACATCGCAAACTCGTAATAATAACGTCAATATATCGTGTAAACGTCATATGTATGTTTTTCAATCGGGGTCACGCCTATCTCACGGTATACAGATATAAAAATACGGACTAAGTACACCATTTATAGTGATATTTGCGTGTGTATATAGTACACCCTTAGTCGGGTCTGACCACTGTCAAATGCCATAGAATAATCTGGAATGAGTGATTGGCCTAGGTGCAGCGTATTTAATATCCCAGTGTTAAGCCAGTATTGAGCTGCTATCGTTAGGCAATCATATCCTGGGGTTCGATTGGTACTGCCGAAGTACTGTCAATTGAAATCACAGCTTTATAACTGTGAATTATCATACGAAACCACAAAATGATGTACCGCCTATTTTACCATTCAGTTGCTACTCGTTTCCTCTAATCTGTCTTTACATACACACCCTCGTCTACTCGTGCACCTGTACAGTTGCTGTTTAGTATCACTGATATGTCGTCATCCAGCCAGATTTCGAGCCATTTTTCTTCCGTTGTCCCTTTAAAGCTACCCACCGTACGTTAGAAGTACGTAACTGCAGTAGGTTATAAAGTTACAATAACAACATGTCGGCCAAATAAGTACATTCGGACTTGATACCTGAGTGCTTCAAAGCGCAATAGAAAACTTACGAATCCTTACGTCCGGTTTTATTGCCCTAAGCCTTGTTTCGGGCGACTAGCGCCGGACACTAAATGTGTCTGTATAGGACCGGTTTTGAATTTAGACTACTTCGTGTAACCGTCCGACCGTTCCATTGTCAGAACGATTAATGGCTGGTAGCAAACTGTGGCACAGACGTACCAGAGATAGAATGATAAGAGCAAGGAATATTTATGGAAGAGAACAAACCATTAATGAGATTCTTTTGTCTGATTTTTTGTTTTTTCCTCTGTTCGAGGTTATGTTGGAATCAGTCTTGAACCTAAGCTCCAATATACAAGGTCCCGGGTTTATTGAGTGAACGTCCCAAGGAATCAGGCGAACATCTTAACAGTAGGATCTAATCGTGACAAAGCAGTTGCTCTAAACAAAGCTTGTTTTAATTCGTGGCATCCAGAGGGGCATTTTACTAACAATTTTTATACTTAATATTGGACATGTATACTTAAATTTCTAACGCTATGTGCTAGAGTTGACAAATCAATGTTTCTTGGTCTTTTATGTTTCAGTCATAAAAACTCGTTGACCCAAAAATGAGGTTTTGATTGTAGTCTTTCATTGGCCCAAACCCAGCTGCCGAAAATTATATATATATATATATATATATATATATAGGACACCACATCCTCTTATGTTTCTGGTGATTCTTATATATGCTATTGTACAACTATTGAGTGAGGTTTTTTTTTTGATAGTAGTGCGAAATAATTCGTCCAAATGTGAACTAACAATTAATGAGAGCAAGCGTTTTACAGTGCACACCCATGATTGTATCTGTTTCGATCAGAAAATCATGTTTTTCATTTGAAATACTGACGATCGGGATACTAAGTGGAAGAATAAATGTTCAGCCTATACTTTATATAAATAGCTTTATTGGCGATGATGATCATTGAGGACCTGAACGTCCAGGAATCTCTAGGACGAAGAAGTTCAAGCATTCAGGCTGGACTATAAATCCTTCTTATACTCAACAGGAACTCAATAATCAGTTAAGAGTGTTAAAAACATCTATGGAATCAAGAATTAATGGTCCTTTATAAAAAGGATACAGAAGGCAAGGAAGTAGGTT